CGGATACCAGGAGAGTATTCATATACCGGGAGTATACGAGTATACTTTCGATTCTTTTCAGAACCACACATATTCAACCACATGTACTTACTTAGTCCACATGATTGATGAGTCTCTCACATCTTCAGACCAGATCTACATTAAATTGAAGAAACATACTGATTAAGCTTCATCACAAAAAAACGAGTAGTTTCAACTCTTATACAATTCATTTAACTTTTAATAAAACCGCTGTGCCTGACATGTAGAGTTTTATCCACCTGACCTTGCCCACCTATAACATTCCTCAATCTCAAACAGAACACAACGAAGCATCATGTGATTTGCCCAACAGACCGATCAATTAAGCCCCACCCCATTGTTTTCTTACCAGCCACAGCCGTGATTTATGTCCAATATGCATGCACAATGGTCCAACTAGAACATCTAGTGCGAAGTGTGGCATCTGAGCAAAACGTACGTGCCATGTGCCCCCGTGCGCAGTGGGCAGGGCTTACTGGATTGTCTATTTCCATATAAGCACTTGTTCTCTAATCAAGTCTGATTCTTTTTTTTACATTATCATTTTTTTTCTTACTCGAGCAGTCCAGTCACCAACAGTCAGGAAGTTCTTTGGGAAGAACGGATTTCTCTGTAGAGAGTAGACAGGGCCAATGTGCTCCTTGTAGATGGCCACGATCTTCTCTGCTGGCGTTTTGGCTTTGCGGTTACAGGAGATGATTGTACCCTGCTCCGTGCCCACCATGAATTTTGTGGGCTGGGACAGAAAGGTACCAAAATGAATTACAAAGGAGAAATTATGTGCATAATTTTCTCTTGATGGACCTTTCCCGTTCAAGGAACGATGCACCAGTCTGCAGATGGAAATAGCTCAATAACAGCAACATTCCTTCCCTTCCCCAGTGAGCCAGTTCGGTATTTCAAAAAGGGAAGGTCATTCAAAGCCCACAACATTATGCCAGTTCAAATAAGTGTGTGCAGCTGCCCTGCTAAGGCTGACCTCATGTTGACCTACAAGGTGTAAGGTGCTTTATTTTGAACATGTGCAGTCTGAGCATTGACCGCTGCTCCATGAAGTTTGACCAAACAACACTGTCCTCACAACACTATTACTACTGCACTACTACTTACAATAGTTGGTTCATACTCCAGTGCAATGACTCCCTGTGCATTCTCTATGTTGCCTTTCTTGTTTGGGTCCATGACCAGCTTTTCTGTGGGCTCACCCAATTTGCGAATGTCCCACCACAAAACCTGTTTTTCGCCCAAAAAAACAGGAAAGAGTAAGTTCGGTCAAGAACTGAGGAAAAAGTAATTTTTGAAAGCTGCAAGGGTAAAAGGTAAGAAACAAAAAAGGTTTAAATCTGTTGTGCAAGGAAAGTTGTGATTGCCTTTGCCCACTGAATCAAAAAGCAGGGATGAGTATTTTTATCTTTACAGAAACTATCAATTACAACTTTGCTTGCTTAAAAACATTTTCATATATAAAAAAACATGAATCAAGTACTGTTGGAAACAAAATATAAAATCATAATTATTTAATGATAGATTTCAGAGATTTAACTTGCAGCTTGCTGGCTTGAAATGGCTCTACACTATAGAGAGACTTTCTTTCAAAGTAGATCACTACAGATAAAGTTAAGTTGGATGCTTTCAATAAGACTGCAGCCACAGGGTCATTGCGCCACCCATCCATAACACAAGCCAAGCACGGCTCAACCATACCTGCCCATCTGTGGAGGCCGAGAAGCACTCAGTACCCGTCTTGGACTGTAGCCAGATGGTCTTGTAGACAGGGTCATGGTGGCTGTGCTCCACAGGCGACATCTCAACAGCCTGAGAGCCCTTTCTTGTATCCCAGAAAGCTGCAGAGAGTGTACAGAATGCAAACAGAGGGTACAGGGTAAAATCAAGGACCAATCTGATGCCTCTTGTCACTTTTCTGTTACATTCTACATCGACTTGGCATTGATTCCGTTGAGCTCGTGGCTACAACAGGGTTACAAACAATGCACTCACTTACACGTTGGAAGTCTGACGTAGATCTCAAGTGCACTTTTTGTGTTCACAAAATGAAGAGCCTCTCCATTTATGTCCCAACTGGGGTTTATTTCACTATTTGATGAAAGCAGTTTATACAGTTTGCCTTGGCAAACTCAATACAGCAAGCTTAATACAAAGGGTGAATTATTTTTTGTCATTCTAAGTATGCACATTTTGTAAATAGGCAAAGGGGGAAAACTTCTCACTTCACAGATCTGTGAAAACTGTTCTTAATTTACTTTGCATACGAGGTCATATAACAGTTATAAACAGCTATTTATATTTTGCACGGTTCACAGTAAACTTGTTATTTTTTTCAGTTGGATACTTGTATGCAAATGTAATATTTGCACAAGAGAGGTTTAGCTTGAATGAATGCTCACTCACCAATCTGTCCATTATAGCAGCCACCAATGAGTACGTGTACATCTTTGGGGTTGTATTCAAGACACACCAGTGGGGATACAGGCTTCAGCGTTGTCTCTGGCTTGTTTGGGTTTTCTGGGGAAAAAGCCAAAATTAAGAAGTAGAATTAAAGCACACTATGACTGTTTGGGGAAAAATACCCCCTGTTGCTCATTAAAAAAATGTATCACAGCTATGGCAAGTTGTAGTGGAACTCAATTTGGCCTAAAGACCTTATACTGGTACAAAGAGACAGCCAGGATTCCCACAAATTCTGCTGTTACGACTTTGATTATGGTGTTATAATGGAGCCTTACCAATATCCCATATGTAGGAATCCAGGCTCGTGTCCGGAGAGGACCTCTGGAATTCCAGGTTAGAGTAGGCCACGGCCAGTTTGCGAGCACCATCAGGGTACCAGGACAGGTGCGTGGCTGTGCGCTTGATTTCGTTGGGGTCTCTGAAAAGAAAACAGGAATCAAGAGTAAATTATAAACCACTGCTCCCTGGGTAGTTACAGACTGCTGAAGGGTTCAAGGTTGTGCAGGTTAGTTTGGGAATTGCTGTGTTTTTTCATGTGGCAAGCACAATAAGAGTTGGAAAAGAAATGCATTCTGTTCATTTAATTATGTTAGTCAGTCAGTATTGGTAGGCCAGAAGTGGTCAACTGTTTGAAGTAGTAAAGAGACGACGATTCCTAATAAAGTTGACTGCAATTCTGCAGACATTCCAAGCACTAGAGTTAATACCTGGATTAATATTAAAGGAGAGTTTTTGGGAACCTCCGCATGTTACATAATGGTACATGGTTTCAGCCCAGATGACTTAATCTATGTGTAGTATGTCAGTCCTTGTTACAAGTTATCCCCATAGATTTTGGCAAGCACAACACCTTGACTGAGTTCCCACATGCTTTTGGGAAGGAGGGTGAAGAATCATATCATGAACAGCCTACACACCTGAAGACATTGATAGTCTTGGCTGATGGCGTCTCTTCAGTTTCCTCAATGGCCAAGTCTGAGAAGTAATCTTCGTAAATGTTGATAGCATTGTTCTGTCGGATGCAGTGTTCCATTGTCTACAAGCAAAGTCAAAAATACAGAAATTGCATGAAATGGTCTCAATATATCTGCTGCACTTTCACAGCCATCCGGGTGCCATAACCCTGACAAAATGATGAAAACACAGGGTCCCAAAGTCCTATACCCACCGTGGCGAGTGACTGTATTGTGTTGATGTAGCCCTCATCCTTTTCAACCTTCTTGCGGAATCGGATGACCTGCTCCACCTCTTGTGGATTGATGTCCTTGGGCCAGCCTCCCTCGATGTGGTTGATGCCCCTGGTCTCTGTTTCAAACCTTTCTGTGTTGACCTGTATGAACGTTTAGTTATGGACATTGGTTAACACTGCACTGACCTTGTTGGATTTTCAATGGCAAGCAAGAACGAAAAAGTAAACTTGCATTTGAAACTCTTGCTCCATTACATCCTCCAAAACACTTCAGTATTTTTACAGAAGTAAAAGGCCCATTTGAAAGCATGGGCTACAGAAAGGCTGAAATTGTCAAAGGAGAACATCTCTGATGAGCCACAATTGGCATACTTGCAGGCTTTCAACACATCTCCCCCACCCCCACAATCTAAACTTGCGTGCAGTGTACCAAGAATATTGGACTTACATCATGCTCAGACATCTCTTGGACACACTGGATGCCCCTGTCCACGGGATTCTTTTCAATGAAGTTTGCAGCGAGAGACTCATCGGGCAAGATGTCCACATGGAGCTCGGCAGGTCTGTCTGAGAAGTTACACTGCCGTCCAAACTCACTGCGTTTCTTAGTGTATACATATACTATCTCCATGGCTGAAGAAGGTCAAATGCTAGCACTATACGCCTATATCAAAGTCAAACAAATCAAAGCATTTTATTGACTTGACCAATATTTAGGCCAAGGCATACAACAAAATAGTTTGTGATTAAGGGCAATTTTTTCATTGAATGCAATTTTATGTGCTTCTGAAGTTCAGTGACAACTACACCGAGTGACAACTAGGTTGAGTTTTGTGACCTCTTTCCAGTGACAAGAAACCACTAATTTACATCACATCGACAGTGTTTTCACCCCACTGTAAACTTTGGTTGCAAAAACTCCCACATATAACACATGAGGTTGTGTTCATCCATCTCGCCATTTCTTAAACTTTAAGTCCTACTGTACTGGCCATAGGCATAGCCTTAGTCACACTAAGACCTACACCTGAAAAGGAAAGCAGGGACAGGTGCACTGCACTGAGTTGCTAACAAAATGTACGCTAGGAAACACTGTCTGACTGATGACCGCAACCTATCTCTATCATTTCTGTCCTTGTGACCAACACTGCAAGATCACCACAGAGGATGCAAACTATCCATGGCAGTTCAGAAGACCGAAACAAAAGACTCGAACTAAGTTGAAGTTGAAGACTAGCCCCGGCCCTGGCGTAGTTCAACTTTAAGTAGGCTAGCATGAGTAGGCCTAGGGTTTTTTACTAGTTGACTTTAAAGTAATTTAAAGTGATTCGATGTAATTTAAACGCTTCAGGCCCACAATCAGGGACTGGTTTTGGGATCGAAGCCTGAGACGGAGTTGAGTATTGGAAAACGGCCCTAAGCCTAGTTGCGACTGCGACAAACGATGCAGCTCGCATGGTTGTCGCAAAGGTAATGTCAGTGCACACAAAACATACTAATGATGTGGTTATTCAAACTTAAGTTATGATTCCAATAATTATCGACCCAAAATTTAAAAAGCCTGACAGATCGCTCACCAAAAAGCTTTAATTAACGACAACTTTTAATCGAAACTCATCGAGCAACCATCCGATACGTCGCCGCTGTTGTTGCTAGGGCAGCCTGGCTAGACTGGACAACGAAACAGCTTGATGCAACAAGTTTGGGTAAAAGAAGACGGGTACCAGATGTTACACATCCTCGTTTACATCAATGTGTTTATGTATTAAAAACAAATAACATTATAATACCCAAACTGATCACGAAATGAAACAAGTAATAGTTTCATGTAGTGAAGATATTTTTTGTCAAAATTCTTTGCCATAAATAAATTGACTTTGAAAAGAAGCATAATATATAACTGTCTTTTTGAATACGCCTCTATCAAACCAAAGATGGCTGCCCCCATGATGGTAGAAAAATGGCTCAAAAGGATAAGGTACATGTACATTATTGAGATGCATAGCGAAATTTGTCTACAAATGTGATTCCTCAACCAGTATATTGTTTCATTACGTGTTTTTTCGTTATATAACATTTTGACTGTTAAATTGAGAAATTCAAGACCCTTTAGGCCTACGTTTTTTGTACAGCGGCGGCGGTTTGGGAATGTCATTGTCAACTCGCCCCACGTTATTGCAAGGACAGTCCAGATTTCCGCCCCAGTAAACCTGTATATTTTCCTGTGTTCTTACTAGGTGACCTATGGAAGTGGTACACTGTACATGTACATGTATATACTGTAAGGATTGGTTAATTTGTTATTGCTATAGTTATCACATTTCCCTATCATGCCCATCGGGGTGGAAATATAATTTCCTTAATTTAATAATAAGATGGTACACTTCTGCACTACTTGACTATATGTAGGGATGCTATGATCCGCATGCTCGTTGTGGTCGGAATGTCGCTACCGCGTTTGCGGGAACAGTGGAGGCTGTCCTTGAAATGACGTGTTTCTGTGGGCTACGAAGGGGTATTCCCCATTGGGTCATCAATATAACGTGTTCTAGTCATGTGGTACCATCCTTCCCCCCCCCAAAAAAAGGAGGTCATTACTTCTAGGGGTCATCTGCGCTGTCTTAACTTTGGGCTTGCATTCAACTTGTCGCTAATCATACACAACTGATGCGATTGCATTACGTATGCTAAGTACTAGTAGTGCTATATTTTTATGGGGTACATGTATATGAATGCCATTGCTGTATTGTGTGGGTATTTGTTTGAACCATTCTACCATTTTTAGTACCAACACTATTTTGAAATTAATTTCTTTGATCAACAACATGTTCTTGGAACACTAACATTTATCATTAGGAAATGGTAAACAAATTTTGGGTTATGTTCGATGCAAGTACATGTAGGTCTAGTTCCCAAGATAATTGCAGGAAGTTAAGTCTCTCTTTTTTTTAAGGTATTTTTTCTGTAGTTTTACTCTGATAATGATCATGTACATGTAAAAATGCTAATATTTCATCTTTGTAATCAAATCTAAAAATAATAACTTTTTTTTATTTTGCCTCTGTACATGTAAATCTGATACCAAACTAACATGGACATAATAACGTTAACCTGAAAAATAAACCAACCGAGTACATCCTAATTACTAAATTAGTGAATTATTGAGGTAATTAAGTAATTATGCTCTTAATTACATGTATAGAGCATCCAAACAAGGATATATCAGATACTTCACAGTCAATCAGTTAAAAAAGAACTGAAAATTTCATGCAATTTGTTATATCTTATAACATCTGTAACATTCCTACTGTATGTATGTAAGCCAGTTGTACATGATGTAGTACAGTAGAGACTGTTATCCAACCGGGGATTATAAGGGGACCAGTGACCACTGTGTCTTTTAACCTTGTTTACTATTCTTGTTTTGCTACTTTGGTTTAATATTCATAAGCAGAATGGTGATGTCATCCAAGGCACTGAACCTCAAAGTTGCATTGATATGTGTACTAAAAAGCTACTGGATTTTTAAATAAATTTCTGTTTCTTTCGCAATTTATTATTGTGTAAGCCTGCAGGTGTAGCATTAAGCTCATGAGCAACCTTTTCTCAGAAATGTTTTCAAAGAGTAAATTTGGAGTTCAGAATTTGAGTACATAAACGTGCAAACGTAAGAACACTTCCTGATTAGAATCTCAGCAGCAGTGCCATACTCCTCAGAAAAAGCTCAAAACAACTTTTTATGTTTGAAAAAGTGCACTTTAACCCCAAAGGATTTCAAACAGTTTTCATGCATTGAAGTAAAGTATAAAGATGCATAAAAGGTTAGTCTGAGAAATATTTACTGCATGTTTCCTTTAAATACCTTCTACCAAATACTATCTGGAATAATGATCAGAATCATCTACTTGTACAATTTATACTAAAACTTTTTCAAAGGAAGAGGCTCTAAGCTGATGAACCTAATGTTTGGAAATTACACTCCTACATGTATATGTACACTACATGCACAGAAACAAAACCCAAGAGGAACTGGACTCTCTCTACAGCAGTGTCCTTCAGCTGCTGAACTCAGCTCAGCCATCAGAGAGAGACCGAAGTGACTGCCTGTCTGAAGTGAGGAAGCTCTTCTTGTATCTGTCGTGCACGAAATATAGAAGACGGTGAGATTGGATGTCTCTCATCCATCAGTAACAATTGTCGTTAAAAGAAAAGCTTTTCAATGTTCCTTTGTCTTCTTTCCCCTAATCTCTCCCAACTGAAGGGCAGCATTTGTTATAAGCCAACAAAAATGTGAAACTGATTTGTAAACCTTTGTGACATGTCAGAGGAGAATTTGAAGCCTTTGGATTACTTTAGATCCACTTTGGAGCTGTTTGGGGCACCTGTCGGCATACCCTCGAGAACCACAGGTCTGCCTCATTTCATGCTCTGGTTAACTGATCAAAAACAATCCCTTTATCACTATACATGTAACGTTGAAAAAAAAATAATGCATGTTACTACTGATAATTATGGAAGCGTATTGCTGCCAACGCAAACAATTATATCATCTCGTTTAAACAACTTATCTCATTTAAATGACAAAGCATTCTTGTTTAAATGCGATATTGCTCTCTTGTTATTTCTAAATATAGTTTCGTCATTTAAATAAGATAATAAGTCATTTAAATGAGAAAAGAAGTCGTTTAAACAAAACAAATTTATTTTTGGCAGCAATTCACTTCTGTAGATAATATTGTGTTCTCTTCAGTGAGACTGATCAGTTCACAACAATTTCAAAATCAGGACAGAAAATAAAGGCTGTATATGTATATACTCTTGATAAATGAGTGTTAATTTTGCATATCATCTTCAAGTGTATTTCAAAGCTTGCTTGCTTTGTGAATTTAAGGAACCATGAATACTGTACTACAAACTGCAAACAACATCTTCATATACTAGTAGATGTACATGGAGTTTGATAAAGGTACATTTTATCTATCTCCTACTTCTTGTCATTTACTACATACAACAGGGGCCTCCATGTTTGCGTGCTATTCCCCCACGCTGACAATTTGTACAAGTTGCAACTTACTGGTTCTTTTTAAAGGTTACCAGAGGAGCTGGTTGACATGCTAAAAACAATCCTGACAGAGAAAAACTATGGAATATCACCAGGGGCCAAAGGTCATATTTTATGCAGTGCCATACTGCAGGAATATGCTCCTACTGAGCAGGTGGTCATTGACAGTTTCAATCCCCCGGTGGACTTGAAACAGGTGCCGTTCATCTTGCCAGTCGTAATGAGTCAGGTAAGCCTTACATTGTATTTTGCTCTTCCAGAACATCGTTCTTGGGAAAGTGTCCTATTAACATAGTGCCCTGTGCACTGGCTTTCAGTACCTACAACTTTTCCATGAGAACTGCTTATAAGGTGCTCTAAGAACTGACTTGAAATGTAGTGAAAATTACGCAAATTACAATGTGTTACACAGATTCAAACAAGATTTAAATACTTCTTTTCATTTGAAATGGAAAGAAGGTTGTATTTTTTTTCATTCTTAAAAATTCCTTTCATCACTTCTTTGTAGAGGGCACTGTTTTGCTTTTTCACACAAGGCAGCCCTTCAAAATTAGTTACAAACAAAGGTTTGAAGAAGTATTGGCCATTTCTATTGTCCAAACAGGTCAAACATGATAAACACATAAAAAGTAGATTTAATTCCAAACAAATGTAGAAAAGTGTGACATACATTTGTACACCGAGCTACAGAGACACTACTGTTCTCCTGTGAATGACATCATGCCTTGTTTCATTAATATATAAACTTTCATTAGCATAAAAACCAAAATGTTGATGTTCATACCAATGAATACTTTCGAGGAGGTGGAAATTCCCAGTAACATTGCAAGAAAGCTTTCCTACGTGTATCCAAGTCATAAAAATCCTATTTCATGTCTCCTTTAAAATTTTCTACTAAAATGCGGAATTTGAAGATCTATTCTTGCATGCTGATGGAAAAACTACATGGTACCGTGCATAATGAGCATCACTATTGCACTAATCAATTCATTCACCAGTGCCACCTTGTTTCTTGACAAAGTCACGCTGTTGGGCATTTAACTAAATCATGGGAACTACAAATTGAAAACCACCCAAGTGTTAGGGCTACATGTAGTTAAGGGGAATTTTAAAAACATTCCACCTAATAATTGTATTGTGGCAGTCATTCAATTCGATGAACTGTTTCCATGTCATAGGGCCAAATGGTGGGGAACATGGACAAGCTGGTCTCCCAGATGGTTCGCTGGGTGTCCACTGTCGGATTTGACAGTGAAGTCCAGGCGAGGGCTCTGGGATGCCTGGTTACTGTGGTAACACTACACAGGCCTCTACTATCTGGAGGTCAGTGATTTTCATGTTTCCGTTCATTGGATTGGATTGGCTAATGGAAATCTGTAAATAAACCCATCATATGAAATAAAAGGCCAGTACTGGCCCCCCCAACCTTTTATACTTCAGCTATACCAGAGCTTGAACACTTGTGTACCACCTGCAAGGACTTAACAGCCTTAATTTCCTCATAGTCGACATTAACAACAGTGGCAGCGCTGCTGCAGTAAGAAGCACACAAACATACTGCAAATTGTAGCTTTTGCTGTTGAGAAATCTGTGTGGCCTTTTGTTTTTAACATTCGATTTTTCTCATTTGTAGCATGGTACCAGTGCCACTGAAAGCTATTCCACAGGTGAATATCACTTGTGAAAGGGTATCCAACATCAAAGTACATATCTGTTTCTTGCAGAACAAATTTACGTTGTGAGTTCTCAGATCAGTGACTGGTTGAGCCAGGCCAGCCTGTTCCAGGCACCCAATCCAAATACAAGATCAAAGCCCAAGAAAGCAGACCAGGTAGATATTCCTCTGTGAGATACATGAGCTACTGTGTTGTTCCCTTATTTGGAGGACTTGCTGGGATCACAGGAGTTGAATTTCTCTTCTACTGGAATCTTGAATTGCCAAATTTTGGGGCATTTGTATTTCACAAACTTGAAATGTCGTAACCAATCCCATTACAATACCTTTCACAAATCAATCCACAAGTTCTTTTACAAGACCAGTCGCAAAGTTGCCACTACAGTGGACAAAGAAAAAGACAATGCTTTAGTCACAGTTCGTTTTATTAGCTTGTGACTTGACTGAATAATTGTGGTGATCTTGCAGGGACTATTTATGGACTCAAATACAGTGCTGCAAAATGGAGAAAGCATACCTTGTGCAAAGTAACGCCGACAAGGTTCTGTTACCTTGGATGTATGCTGATATGGAGCGCCTTGGGAATAGGTTATAAATATTTGATAGATATAGGGTGACTGACATTTATCTCCAAGATTTTGATGAAATTAGGCCATGAAAAATCATGAAAATCTGGTTGATTCCTGACAGGTGACAGAGATAGATGGCACCACCTGTCAAGACTTCTTCACCCTGCTGAACCTCAGCCAGTACTACTCGCAGGACCAGCTCCTCAATCTTCACAGTTTCTCCTGTCTCCGCCAGTGGCTCCTGGGCACCCACTTCTCTGGCACTACCCCCTCTAGTGCCGATTCCAGCTCAGGCAAGGTGACCCCGGAGTCGCCTGTGATGCTCCTGTCGTCTGGGAGCTTCGCAACCAAAGCAAGACAAGTTCTGGTGGAGAAGGCCTGTGAATATTGTCTAAGAGTCATAGACCAGTGTGAGAGAAGTATGTTTCAAAGAAAGATTCACATTCTCATTCAAATGAACTTTTTGTCTAATGAATAAGAAAATGGCATATTTTGACAGCATGGGACTATTCTCTCCAAATGCAAATTTACAGACTTAGAGTGCAAAATATTTTTTTATTTGACCAAAAGGAAAAAGGGTTTCATCTGCTTGAAGTAAAGTGTGGGACATTTTCTATTCTATTTGTATGCATACCAAATTTTTAAAAAAATCAATCATTGCTTATTGGATTCAACATGTTCAAAGGGAGACTGGATTAGCTCTGCCCTGTGTTCTTAAACTTCATTTTATTGTTTTTCAGGAGGCAGTTTTGTAATTTTATCCACTTATAACTTTTCTGTCATAGAACCATTAAAGTTTCAAGATCAAGAAATGATGCAGGCTGTAAGTGAATTTATTTGTAGTTTTCCAGAAAAACCTTAGTGTAGTTTGAGTCATTACATAGTGTTGTGTTATGAGTTTTTTGTATTTGCTGCAGTTTAATATTCAATCAGATCTAGCTATCAGCAAATAACGAGTGGGTGACGATGTTTGTTGGAAAATGAAAAGAAAATTTTAATGGCATCATGATGAATACATTAAATGGCATTGTGGTAAACTTAAGTCCATTGAAACTAGAGCGATGACACGATTGAATCACTTGCTGTCAGCCACTTACAGCACACTTGCTGTCATTAGCCACTTACAGCACATGGCAAGAAGCTATTGACAGTGAGATTTTGAATTTTGTATTGATGTAGTCCTCCAACCCGAAAGACTTGGAAGACTCCATTTGTAACTACTACAGGACATGAACTGATTCGTTCTTAATTTCAATGCTATTCGATTTTTCTCCAGTGTTTAATAGAAGCAGTGTCTCTACTTGATGTCCTGTGTAGCCTCAATCATTTCTTGGTTGCCAAAATCTTCCCAGCCATCAAAGGAGTTTACAACCACCTGAGTGGTGAAAACAGCCAGCCCCGGGTCTTGCTACCTCTACTTCAGTTCTTCATTCACCATAGTAAGCTACCTAACAAGTGTCAGAACCTCCTGATCCTAACGTAGTCATTCTTCTAGTAGCCCGCTTACTTTTGAGACAGGTCTTTCATCTATTGCTCGGATTGAAAATGAATGTATGAAAAAAAAGAATGCAAATTTCACGAGAAAGTTGCCAGTTTACGTAAACAGAGGTGTTGAGTTCGCTTGTTTTATTTGCCCTTTTTTTTGTAGGCGAGATGGTGGTGTACAATCCCATTCCTGCCTATGAGCATTTCTTTGGAGAGATCCTGTCTAGTCACTACACTAATCCAGTCATTGCATTTGATACCGTCATGTTCTGCAGGGACAATCTACAAAAACTCTGTGTGGACACAGACATATTGGAGAAATTCTTCCCCAATTTGCTGAAGGTAATTTTGGTCAATGGACAGCACCTTTTTTAAATCAGAAAGTAAATTACTGGATAGATAAATCTCGTCATTTTTCTTTATCTTGCATTTTGTGTTACATTTCCAGGAATTTCTAAATTAAGGGACTTAACCACCCTTATGTTACAAATACAACTTAAATATTTCAAATATTAGCTTAATTATCATGCCTTTTGAGGACCCAGATGGTCAGACTTATGCGTGTAGTAGGCAAATAATTGTTGTGCATTCACTGATATGATCTTTTATTCAAATAGAAATTTTTTTCTCAATGCCGTTAAAAAACATCTTTTGTAGGGACAAAAATGGATGCAGTTCTGGGTAAATCCTTGCAACATTAGGTCTTCTTTTTCAAAAACTGTGAAAAAAAGCATCATTTGGTACTGTGGCGGTGTGGTAGATCATGAAATCACTCTTGAAATGTTCTGACATTCTGCCGGAGGTGGTAAGTTTCAAGTTCCAGTGTTTCTGTAACACCTGGAAATCCTCAGCGTGGGTTAGTGCCTCAGACCACTTTTAAATATTGCATTAGTTTGACGTTTTACTTGGAATTACATGTATTTGGCAATTTTTCAGATACTAGCTTGGAATCCCCGCACATTTCTGATGGAATTTGTGGACATTCTGCCAGCAATGATATCACCATCGACAGCAGTTGAAGTGAGGGTCCATATGCATAATACTCTGTGTATTCAAGTGTAAACAATATTTACATGTACCTAATAGCCCCAACCAGACTCCACATCATAAGATGAACTACATCACTTTGACAGTTCGATGAAATTCATCACATAACGCTCAGGAATATGTACACTAGCAATTGCTGGATTCTGTTGGGTTCTGTAGGTGTTAGATTTATTATTATGTTGTTTGAATTTACATGGAATGAAGGAACCTATGGTTCATGTTTGTGGTTTGATTCTTATGTGTTAGTGTCGTCTTTTTAAACTAGACATTTGGAAAAAAGCAGGAAACTTCTTGTGTTTGCTGATTTCCTTTTTCTTTTTTCTAGTGGATGGCATTATAATCTGAAAAACACTCTGCAGAATCTTTGGCTGCTTAGGACTTCCTTGCGTTTGTTTTTGTTGTTTCCTGGTAGTATGACAGTATTGCAATTTGAACTTTGACCATTTCTGGAATACATGTAGATGCTACATACACTGCTTGACCTCCCGTGCGAGGTCATGGCTCTGGAGGTCAGCCAGCACACTAGTCGTCCTGGCAACCAGACTCCAGACAACTACCTGATACCAGAGCCCACATTAAGATTGCCACCCACCTTGGAAGCGTACAGGAATCCCGAGCACAAACCCTGGTTTAACTTCATCCTTAGAGGGCGGAGCGGACAGGGAGATACAATTAGCAAGTAAGAGGCAGTGACCCAATTTCATTTTAGCTGCTGATAGCAGAAAATCTTTGCTTGTGGAATCTTTGTGCTAAGCTAAAGTTTCCCAAGCACCAGTCACAACTGGTGCACACATCATGGCATATATGTAGGTAACCTGTTTTGACTAAGCATTTTCCAAACTGCAAACTTCTGGCCGTAGTTTTACTCTCGCATTATTTGGCTGGGAGGTTGTTTTTGCTTAAAGTGTAGCTGCAATTATTTTTCCCCAGACACAATATTTGTGCAACTTTGCACTCTCCAGTTTGGTGACATGCATTAAAAAGTGCACTTCTTAAAAATTAGAATTATCCATGCTTTCCTTGACAACTGAGGGGGCTATTGCTGTGAGGTCACCGAGGGAAGATATAGTTCAGTGCACAGGTTTTTCTGTTCAAATTGTGAACCCAGAATTTACTTACTGAAAACATTTCTGAAGAAGGGATTGGCGCTTGCTTATTTATTCTATGGACATAAAAACAAGGAATCAGCAAAGTAGACAAAATTTAGTTAAGCAAAATCTAGCAAAATACAGGACTTTTGTGTATAAACGTATGTGACGTTGAGGCTTTCTTCCTGGGATGACATGTGGAAATATTCATTAGCATAAATACCAAAAGGCAGTAAAATCCCTTTGAAATACTGGAACAAAAGTTGAAAGTATGGCTAATGGAGACACAAAGTTGCCTTTTAAAGGTTTGTGTTCAGAGAAATTGACTGCAGCTACCCTTTCAATCCTTTCTGTGGTCATTTGTCACTGGTGTTCACAGGCTTGGTTTCCTGCACAAGTTGTTGTCTGACACCTCCTCCTATCCTAGAGTTGTGCCAGTCTCTCAGGCAGTTCCAGTCCTCTTAAGGTGAGTTACTGTGGTTTTTGCTGTACTTTCTTGTTGGTATTAGCCATATGCTGCCCGGTTTAATTTGACGTATTCCCAGGGAGTTTTCAAGATTTTCCGTTCTTAAAATTCTTTAAAAATTCATAACTTCATTTACTGAACGTTTACAACCACACGAATGACTGTCTGGTGGCTACTTTAATCTGACAGACAACATCTATTGACACTCGAGTAATTCAGCCAGGCCTGCCACCTTGCAAAGAGTGCCCAGATTGTGCTGCGTCACATAATTTTCTTTCGTTCCGGAAACTGGCTCAGTGCGCTGCTGGCGTCTTTTCAAATGCTGACCAGATTAGCGTGCAGCGGTATTGTATCGCTCATCACTGGAGCGCTGAATGCCACAAACAGTGGTATAATCATTCAAAGCAGTGACAGATTTCCTCCGCTATTGACAGCTGAAAAAATGTTGGCAATTCCCAGCAAACCGGTTCTGAGTGCGGTCTTTGTTACAAGGCTAAGCTGCTTTGTCTGATTTTGGGCACCCCGGCTTGGCATATAAAGCCAATGTCTCTGGTACCGGGCACCTTGGCACGAAGTGGTTAATATTGTAATGAGAGAAATCATTTGAAGAATTTTGAATGATTGTTTCAATACTCGGGGATACCAGACTTCCAGCAGTTGCTGGAATTCTGGCTTTTGTGGGCTGGAACAACAATATTTTTATTACAGAATTAGGCTCTTAAAACGTTCAAGAGAAACAATGTTTTCCAATAATTGGAATCTACATATGCTGAAGTATGCTTGATACAATCATTTGATTTACACCTAGCACATGGCAATGTATGAGCAGTAGTGTCCTATGAAATACATGTATGCAGAAAACCAGTCTGTGAGGAGCTGACTTCATCGGTTCCCAGACAACTCATGCTCACTTCAGAGAGCCAAACTAGGGAACCAGTTGTGCTAGTGCATCAAATGGTTTCACAAATGTGTTTGTGTAGCATGCACACATAACAGGACAGACTTACGGCCATCATTTCACATGTTACAGTTGGTTATTGTGTTTTCACTTCTACTCATGTCATAATGGAAGTTGAAACTGGTGAAAATATAAAATTAATTAATGGAAGTGGGAAAAATAAGTTCAAGTGACACCAGCTAGAATAAAAAAAACTGTGGTAGATGTTCTGTTTTGGACTTCACACTTTATGTAAGATTGATGTTAAGCACACTGCACTGCATGCCGCCAGATTGTACATTTCATTTTGCCGATAAGCCATTGTTGCCAAAAAAAATACCCAAATCCAACCCGGCTTAACCAGGTGTTTACACTATTGCAAGAAATATAAATGCCAGAGCCTTCAAACTATGCAATTTTGTTCACCAGAACTAAAGGCAAGGATACTCGGGTGTTTTTAGCCGTTGGTGGCCGTTTTATGCAGCCGTTTGTATTCAAATCCCATACACATGTATTTTACCTGTTTTTTCCAGTACTTAACAGAAACTTCAACTACATTCCAAATTTTCCAGCCCCGGACTGAGAACCCACTGGCATCCTGAGTATTATTATATTTTATCAGGAGGGTGAGAAGATGAATTTCCCCTGTCCAAACAGAACTGTTAACAAGTTGTCCCCCTTGTTACAAGCTACAATATACTGCGCTCAAATGAACAGTGTGTCAGATAAAACATTTTACAATTCTCATGGGTTGGATTTTTTTACTTTCCCGTTGATTTCCACAGACTTTATTTCCAGACTGTTGTTGCCAATGCTGACGGTAGTTTACTTTGTCAGCTTGTTCCAGTCATGATGGAACGTGCTGGTCTCCTATTCAACATTCCTTCATTCACTCTAGAAGTCAGAAAGTAAGCCAAGACATTTCAGTTCCTCTTAACCTCTGCATTTTGGTGAGGAGTCTTCTGAAGAGCTCTTTTGTACACTAAAAAATGCTCCTTGTACTTAGAATTAGGATGTAAAGCCCTATGTCAAGTTATTATGGGTACATGTGTAGGCTATGAACTTTGCACTCTGGAACCTGCTTAAGCCAAAAGGAAGAATGGATTTGGTGTTAGAAATTCTTGGAAGACAGCTTAGACATGGTGAATGAGAGTTAAATCTAATATATATTGATTCATAGCAAGAAGCCAAGATTTCAAAACATCAGCTGATACTGTAATCAGAGAGAAAAATTTAAGTCTTACTCAGGAAAAGTGTTTCTTACTTGTTCTGGAACTCCCATGAGCACTCAGTCAAGATGTCATAACAGCAACGAATAGCAAGTTTTTGTTTATAATTAGTACATCACCTTCATGCAAAATTCTTTCATTTGCCATTACCTGGAGGTTTTTACTACGAAGTTATAATCTTTCTAGGGTGCTAGCTGATGAACTCTTGGCTATGTTCAAGCAGTGCCCGGCCCTTATCATGGATCTCAGGACTGAGCTCCTAGACTACGTCGCTACAATCCGCAACATCAATGGCAAAGAGGATTTCTTCACTCATGTGGTAAATTACTGATGTAATCTGAAACTTAGACCCAAGTCCATATACTTGTTTAAAAAGCAGACGATACTGCACTTTTTCACTAAAGTTGAAAACTGGTGATGAGCAGTAATACAAAACAAGACACTTTTTAGGACAAAAGTACTCAGAAAGTACTCCACCGAGTACTTTCCGAGTACTTTTCTCCTCAAAACTTACATTTTACACAACTGGGAGTGTCTGAAGTCTAACATTTATTTGTAATCTTACCTTTGCACATTTACCATCAAATGCCTGAGAGCTCTGGCTTTATTCCCTCTTACCCAGTTCAGTATTTTGCGGAGAACGTTGGTACTCGGAAAGTACTCAACTACAACACTGCATGTTGTCTGCTGGTCTTTTTCATTTTATGAATAGAACTGTTGTGCATGGTCATTTCATGGGAACAGCACGTGTGGCAATGAGAAGAATATGGTTGACATTTAGGGCACTGCTTGAATTAACTGGTAATGGCTAGAGGTTAACATACATCTAAAGGAAGCAATAGCAGCTCATAATCCAGGGCTCCCTTAGCCGCCCATCATTTCCTGCCTAACCGTTGATCTATCAGACAATTAATATCACTGAAATATTTGTCTACTAATAAGTTCCTTGAGTAGCCATACACAGCAGGAATGCCAATCCTCTTGTTTACAAACAACCAACCTCCAAATTGCTTTAATTGGAATTGTTGCTGACTGTGTTTTAGTTTTTCTCAAGTACCGTACTCAGTATGAAGGGTATTGACTTGTCCAGCTTACTGGTAGAAAGAATTTGTTAAGAACAAAGGTTAGTTGGTCACAAGTAGAAATGAAGCAACCAAATCTTCAAGTCGAAATAGCGTTTGTCAGTCGAAGCTTATATGTATATAATTTCAACTGAAGTACTCACAATAAAGTTGCTAGGATATTAGTGATAACACTACTATCATTTTTTTGAGTTCTGTTGTGATGTGCTCTATCCTCTATAGATTAAAAATTGTTGAATTATCAAATCCTGTGGCAGGTATGGATCATTGGTGACTACTCTTCCACTGCGTATGACAGCAGGTGTAATACGGAGGTCATCATTAAATTTTATGAGGTACATATGATTTGTTTCTGAAGCTGTGAATTAAAAGAATTCCAAACGTAAATTGAATTACACCTTTATCAGAGACTAGATATCTTACCAAACAATAGGTGAAAACAGCAGTTTCATTTTAAATACTAGGACCAAGAGACTTTACATTTCTTAATGGATGAGGTCTGTTTTTCAAGTCTGGAGTCTATCATTAAAGCAAGTAGTGGTTCTCCTAAGTTGAATTACATTCTAACTTACAGTTGTGACTCTCACTCATGAGATCAGTTTCTTCTGTCATGTTTTGCTTTGCAGGCTCTCGAGACACTTCTGTATGAAGTATCATCGTTGGTGCAGTCATCCAGTGCTGGCAGTATTCCTTACTCTGCTAGATTACTGACAGTCTGTATGACTGCCCTGGCAAAGGTATTAAGTTATTAAGAATTCATGATCACAGGGAATATTGCGTTTTAAAACTGTGGATTCTGGGCTCACCTTGACTACTTCTTGTGAAAAAATTCCTTGGCAAATGCCACAAATGACGTCATACATGTGAAAAATTTCTGTTATGAGTCAGCTTGTGGTAAAAATGCACATAAAAATGTAAAAACCTCTTTTTCAGGCCTGGGGAAGGAAAAAGACAATAGGTTACCAATAGTTTCTTGCACAATTCTGATTTCAGCTGGCATCTCGCTGCCAAGATTTGATCCCGCGAGTGTTGCTATGCCTTACTAAAGTCTCCCAGCAACAGATGAAAAGCTGTACAGAAGATGAACACAAGAAAGCACTGTTGGACCGAGCCAATGAACTCATTAATGTACTCAAGTTGCCTGAGTAAGTATTGATCAAACAATGAGACTACTCAAAATCATTGCATTACTGTCAGAAAGCTTCTCAATTGCCATCAGATTCAGGGGCAAAAACTTAACATTTTGGACAGACAATTTTGACATTGTAATCCGGGTAATGATGGTAGATGTACTGCTTGATCCTGACATTTCACCTTTATTATATACTAATCTTCAAGTAGAAAGCAATATATACAGTATTGTAGAGAAATTGTAGTTGAATCGCATTCAACTATAATGTCGTTTTCCTTTTGTCCATTTCAGTGTTGCGGCAGCTATCTTGAGTCCATCCTCAGAGATCACAGATGTACACTGGCATGAAGATGTCAACACCTCCATTCCTCTCCTACTGCAGGCAACTCACCAGATTGTTCAGCATGGAACGTAAAGCTTGTTGGTGTGGATGTATTGTTCATACAAGTTCCCCGTGCACCAGCTTCTAAAGTAAGAAAGAAGACCAAATCAAACACGTAGATGCTTTCTGGTGTGATTCCCTTGAGATGAGGATGATATCTACATGTATAATCATTTGAGTATGCTCCACGAATATGGGCAACTTTGGAATCTTAAGGCTGTGAAGCTCAACTTATGCTTCCCTGTTGCTTATTTCCAAGTTGTTGCCTGGTTACCCGCCCAGTGCGTAGCGCTGTTGCATTGAGGACTTGAGCCTGTATTTACTCCATTGGCTTCTTTTCTTCATCACAATCAGGCCTCAGTGAGCCAAAGAGGAGATGCTGACATCATGTTCCTTCACATGTCTTAGCTTATTGCAACTGGTGACTTTGGATCCTTTGCCAGTCTGCCATCCGTGGTACAGAGGGAGGTATTAGAGACAAGTAGGGCTAAGCTTGTGGAAGACTGAGAGCTCGTCAGGTGAATGGTCTTGCTATTCTCCTGACTAGCGTTGCCTTCCAGTGCTGGAATTGACCTCAGAGGGCTAGGTTGGCTTTATCCCATCGAATCAATTCTTCATTGCACATTCACCCCAGGCTGGACATTCTCCGTGCCTCAAACTACAACTCAGTGCTCTCATATTTAATGGAGTTCCACTCCTTTTCTGGAACTTTGGACCGCTTGTCTAAGTGCTTTTCGTTATAAATGTTCAACGTTCAGTGACCTGGTCAGTTATCTGTAGATGGTGTCCCCCTACACTCCTTGTGCCTCCTCAAAGCCATCAATGAGTAGTCATCATGAATATCCATCATTGTGCAGGAAAAAAAAACCTCACACAAACTGTAGACAAGGAAGCTGGCAGCACACCACTGAAATTTAAATTCTTTGTTGAGGACACTGATGAATCTGATGGCAGTGATATACAACTTAAGTGCATAGTCATGCTCCTTCATTACGCTCACATGTATGAAAAACAGTTTCATAATATACACCGACCCAAAAGTGTTGGAACAGAGTCGCTGAGTAATACGTTTATATGATTTTATTGAGACAGCATGGGATTGTGGGCCTGTATGCACAATGAGGCATGCTGAAGAAAACAAAGTAAAAAGTGTACGTACCTCGAAAGAGGTTACGAGCAGAATGGTCATTTGGAAGAGGGTTGGACCATCCTGCCTTTTGCATTTGTAGCCTTATAATTCCTTCAGAGTCTCTTCTGCAGTTTTGATGCTTTTTAGTTGGTCTGCCAAAATGCCCAATTTGACGTTTACTCTCTTGTCCAGATATATGACAGTTGCCCAGCCAGCTTTGCTGTTGTAAGCATTTACAATACGGATGTTGCATTTCCAGTCTGCTATCTGCACCTGGAATTCTTGCAGCTTTTATTGGGCCAAATTTCAGAGTTACCGCAAAACTCGCAATGTGCAGTGTTGCCTGGTCTGGCTAAGCCCTATACAAGTTGTGTCTTGATTGGTTGTCAGAAGCGCACTGAGGCTTCGAGTTGTTGCATCGTTAGACTGAGCCTGATCAGTGGACCTATACATGTAGCTGCATATAATATGTATTCAATTTACAGAGCACGGAGAGATGGACACTCAGCGAGTGCATGAGCTGGAAGTGGGGATTAGGCAGAAGAGTGCTGTCTTAAATGGAGAAGTGGACTATTGTTAGCAAAAGATAACAAATGCCGGGGGAAGAATGTGCTACGGATGAATCCTTCAGAAGTCACTTTGACATTCATTAGTAAAAGCAATTAATCATCACAACAAAACATCGACAACATCATCATCATCACAACAATCATCACATCACAACGATCATCACATCGCAACGATCATCACATCGCACAATCATTACATGCAACAAAAAGGACGGTGCATTGCTACAGTGTCTTAACAACAATTAAATCAAGCAGTGCTGACACAACATTCTTTCATGTAAACAAAAGTAAACTAATACCAAAGGTCGGCTTATCTGTAACGCTGTACACAGTCTTGAGTTCATGTGTCCATGTCCTTGGTGAGGTCAGGGAAGTTCTGGGGTCCCTTGATGAAGGCAATGCAGACAGTCTGCAGCTGAGCAGTTGAAGTCTGGTGTGGGGCAAAACAGATGCTTGGCGGAGTCTATCAGTTCTAAGGGGGAAGCTCTCCTACGATGATGGATTCGACTCTGGGCACAATCTCAGGGCCTGGCTGGGCATGGTTCTTGGTCAAGTTGTCAAGCTGGTTTGAATTTGGTCGAGGAGCTTGACTTAACAAGTAATCTTCTGAATGTTCATCAAGTATGGCTATTCCGTAGCCATGGCTGGGTTCCGTGGCATCAGATGCAACACTGTCTGTTACAGCTGACAATCATGTTCCCAAGCGGAGCTCACTGGTTACTGCATGGCGTCCACTTGTCTGCTCTCGGATTTTGCAGAAGAAAATGCTCCCCTTCGACTCAGTCATCTTGACTGTTATAGTCAGTGAAAGTCCCGTTACAAAAGGATTATCATAAAGACTAAAAGGACTTACATAAAGAATAAAACAAAGGTTCATAATACAAAGTGCTGTGTGAGCACAAGCTACGTAAAGACACAGCCTTATGTAAAAAGGAAAAGTTGCTGTGCTTGCAAGGCCACCGTCCAAAGAGCCATGCTTGGACATTGAAGACCAAACTGTAATTACAAATGGTGCTTCACGACAACTCCTCTTTACTGAACTTATTTCGTCTTTACTAAACTTATTAATCAATTAACCATTCCTTGTAACAAATGTAAGGGAATTGGGTCTAGGTGCCATTTCGGTCTTTACATTCTTTCTACCCAGCAAATGAAATCTACAAAAGAAGACATTCATTGAAAGGCTTAATTTCATTTTTAACTAAATCATATTCAAATACTAGAAATGGAAAATTATTGAATGCTAATTCAATATTGTTATTTATGGACATTTTATTTGGTTCATTTTGTTGTGCAGTGCACTGTTTTGTCGGATAATTATCTTTTAAAACACCACGTTTATATTGATGTCCTTATCTATGCATTTTACCGTACCTTCTATGTTACAAAAATTTTCTCGACGGAGAAGATAGGAGTTGCTGACAAATAAACTTCCAATGTTTCAAAAACAGATGGACAAGTCAGCTCTTTAATCCTTACATTATGTTTAATGTTAATGTGAAAATTATTTTAGATTGAGCAAAGTGCACAATTTCTCGTCTTTCTTTGTATAACATTTGATTCCGTTATAACATGAAGTGTAATAATATGGGTGACTGTCATAAGGAAATTCAATTTAACCCTGCTTAGCAAAAACCCAAAGTAATATTTTTGAAATGTACCAATACATATAAAAGCAGACACAAGATCAGTGAGTGGTCAGTGATTTTCTATGGAGGCTGTCAGTGAAATGTTTCTGTTCGTAGCCTTTAGGAAAAGGATGAGAAATAACGAGCATTTTGTCAAACAGTAACAAAATTAAACAGTTTGGTAGTACTGAATTTCTTGATCAGTATTCTGCTTGTCTTAAGGAGTGTGACAAAAATTTGTAATAACTTGTTACCTTCATTGTTGCAATTCAATTGTCATTTTCAATTAGATACGAAAGCAGTAAATCTGAGTTGCTTAGTTTTTTTCTGCTTCAAAAGATTATTCCTGTGTTGCCTTCATGTTTTTATTTTTGACATTTAAAAATATCAGTCATTCAGATGTGTTGTATTGTACATATTTGAAGATCTCTATAATCATTTTTTTATATATTTTTTAACATGATATACAGGAATATTCCACTTAATTCTTATAATCAAAACTGACTGTCTTGTCCCTAATGATGCAGTTTGATGTACCCTTTGGGGCTTTTGGTAAAGAATATTATTTTACTTTCCGTCTTTCAAAGCTTGGGTGAGTAATTTATTTAATCATTTGCGACGAGGGTAGATAATTCTCTCCCAGAATAGGGCCTATATATATACAAAATTAGTTCTGGATGCCCCTCTTACATCTTATTACACTAAAAAAACTTGTAATCGGACTGGAAAATCTTCAACGCAGATGGGATAGCTGGGTACGAATTAATCAAGTAACTGATTTTTATTTGGGAAATCTGTGAATTTGAATGCATAACTTGTACATGTAAATAGCTGTAGATATAAAAATCCACGTGTTTTTCAGGTATCGACTGTAGATTTCCAACCATTTCTCTAGAGCAAGAATGATTGAATGTCGTTTCTTTGTTTATTTCTAGTTTTCATCATTCTGAGCAGTGCTTCGTTGACGGACAGGTGGAAGGATCGTAGAGCTCACTGCTTTCAGGCCCAAAGAAACATTAATACAGTCACCTCTGCTGGTTACTAGTGGTCCAGCAAGCAGCGGAATGATTGATGATGCCCTAAAGAGGGGTAGGTTTTGAATATAGGCCTAATTGGGGAGGGATCAGTTTTATCAAAAAATGAAATAATGGTTGAAAATAAATAACCTGTCAGAAAGGGGTAAATGGGCGCCATGTCCGAGTCCCTCCACAAAGAGGAGTCATATTTTTAAATAATGAAAGGCAACATTTTTCATCATAGTTTTCAGTCCTTCCAAAAGCGTGTAAAAATTACAAAAACAGAGCCCAACCCTCAGAAAGAATATAAAGGGATTTTTAGTTGAAAAACTTCTGTTCCTTTAAACACCCCGTCCTCCAGAAAAGAAGAAAAAATGGTTCTTCATCTATCATGTGGCGATCCGCAAGACTAAAAGTGGCACTGCATGCTCCTGATAAAATCTTTATCATGTAGGCCTTTATATAGAAGTGTTTTTCTAGTTTGTCATCACCTGGCAGTTTGGGAGTTGCATTAATCCAAAGACAGTTGAGTAAAATATTAAGATCATCTGTGCTCCCCTCAACGCGCACAAATTAGTTCTGCGGTTGGGGGACACCGATTTTGAAGGGAACGGAAAGTTGTGGAGATGACGGAGAAATGTCCCCTACAACTCAAGTCACGCGAGAGGGCGGTCTTCGTATACTGGCGTGCTGACTCGCTCCCGCCGTCGTACCGTATGTACATGTACACACGAATCTGGGAACCAGTCTATGTGGAGTGTGAGATGGCGGCTTTTTTGTAAAAGACTGCGCGTTTAGCGCTACTTCCTCAATGTCGGGGCCTGGAACCGGGTTCACATTCGCGGCACATTGAGAACTTGAGATGTAAGATGTGTTACTTGTTTATGTAAGACTAAGATGGTATCGTAGATGGTTGCATTTGTTTTTTGTACGATGAATAACGAAGATCAGGGCGGGATTAGTGTAGGCCGTTGACACAGTTAATGCCACTGCCATGCCAGCTCGCCATTGGCCGCACTCATTCCCCTGGCTGGCCGCGCATGCCGACGACTTTAGCCTAACGTCATGAACGTCTACGAGTTAAGCATCAGTTCAACGAACTACGATGTACGTAATGTTAGGCCTACCGTTTTCATGATGCCTAGTGATTTTTAGTACTTGGTAGCCTTGGCCTACTATTATTAGGCTAGTAGTAGTATTAATGAATGTAGCATCACTAAGTTTGATGAAAATTTTAAAAGAGGAAAAAATAAAATTTAAAAATGTTATCAAATTTTATGTTAAACGTTAGGCCTAGGGCCTATACTAGTATCAGGACGGCCTATGGTTAGCATGGTTAGTTATGTTAGTGTTAGATCGTGATCATGAAGACTGCTTAATAACCACCCCCAGAACTGTAAGGAGCGGGGCAGACGTTGGACCCCACAGTTCTGGGGGTAGGTAGGCCTCTGTTTTTGTCATTCAGATCCTGTAATTGATGTAGGCCTAAGCACACAAGGTTTGCAAAGGCTTGTCAGGAGAGGTGCACTTCACAACTTGGGGACTGTCCCTGTATTTGGAGAAGTCCCTTTATTTGGGGACAAATCCAGTCCCCTGAAAGAAAGAATGTCTCCTTAAAAGGGGACATTTTTCCCAAGTGGGCTTTAGGTAAAAAATATCCACATACATGTAGGCCCTACTATTTTCGATTTTTTCCTCACATATACATGTATTCCATTCATATTTAGTTATTTAAGTTGTTATAAATAAATTTTGTGCCATGTCACAAAGAACTGATTTTCAGCAAATAAATTCAGCAGTCTGTTTCCCACCCTTTATGTGCCATTGCACTATTGTAGACTCCTGCTTGTAATCCTAGAAGTAGACAGTAGAATATTTTTTTAAATGGTAGTCTTGGGTGTTTTCTTCTGTTGAATCCAATTAAAGCATTGAAAGGATCCCCAGGGCAATGGTAGGATCCCAATGCCCACTTGGAAAAAATTTATCCCCATATAGAGGGACATTCTCTCTTTCCAGGGACTGATGTTGTCCCCCAATAAAGGGACTTCTCCAAATACACGGACAGTCCCCAGGTTGTGATGTGTGTGGCTCAACTGCTTGTCCAATACCAACAAAGACTTTTTTTCAAAGATGGCTGCTACAGTAAGCTCATTACCTGTCTAGGAATGACAATGCATTGAGTCAAAAAATAATAGCATAATTGTCTTCAAATAACTATTTGTAATAACCTAGTATTTGTCTATGCTGTGAGGAGGAAATACCCTTTAGTTTGATGTAAAATTCAGCCTCTTTCAGGAATTAGTTATTTAAAAAATGTCACAAAATATCAAATTATGGGGTAAACATGGTAGATACATGTAGAATTGTAGATGGTAAAACCCAAAGGCCCTGATGAGACATGATCTTGTACTTGTAGAAATGCACACAATGAATTGAAGATGCTGACATTTGCCAAATTTGGTTCAGAAGCGTGCCACTGATATTATGATGCAACGGTACTTTTTTGTGATGCAAAAATACCATTGGTCAAAAGTTAACAAAAGCCCTGCTGTCTTAGTGTATTCTTATCTAGCAACATGTTCATTTTACCCGCTGGGGAAAATGGTAAAGTTGTCAGTGAAAAAAAATTTTCGTTTGATTGTAATTTGGATTCATTTTACCATTAAACCTTTACAGAAGCTGTACAAAGCTGTCATCAGCAGATTTCAAGATGGCTGATTCATCCAAGGCGAGCCACAAGCATGAGGTAATTGCTGTGTGTAATTTCTCCGTGGTGTCAACCGGGGTTTCCCTCCGGGGTACTGATATGTGTGAGGTGGTCAAACAAATTTTGCCAAAGTTCTTGTGCCTAAAACAAAAGTGTATTAAAAAGCTCCAAAATTAATTGTGTATTGTTTAAAAGTACATTTACTCCAAATTTCCCCCCTGAAATAAATCGATCTTGCATTATGTGTCTCTCTTTACCATTCTGAACAATTTGAAAGTTGTCTTTTTCAAAAGATCTAATTTCTTTTGCTTTTTTCCTTCCATCTTTGTCTATTTTGGTTGTGAGGTGGTAAAATCCAACAGAAAAGCCTGAGGTGGACACTAAAATCAGTGAGGTGGGCCGCCTAACACATTTGAATAGGCTGGGTATACCCTGATGTCAGTCCTCAATTACTGTATTAGGCAAATATGGACTTGTTGGACTTGGCAAGCTTGTTGGTTCAACTGGAAACTGCTACATGCAGTCAAAATGTGTCATATATAGGACTGAGTCAATTAGAATAATTGACTACTTGAGTATTTGACCTTAAATTCGATCAAGGATTCGGTCGTACCAGCCGGCAGAATGTTGATGAACCAACTGTATACAAAATCACAATAATGCACACAACTGTACTCTGCAATCAGTATCTTCTCACATTTACCGTAGGACGTCTCCAGCCACGATTTAGCAAAGTTGTTGCTGCAATAAAAAAATGTCTCCGACACCACAATTTGTGGTTGCTGAGAGACTACTTACAATTTCTTCAGATGCATCCATCTTCTTCTTCGGACCTCCAGTCATTCAATTTCAAGTAGAAATATCGTCATCTTATTTTATTTCAACAAAGTTTTCATCAATATATTATTATTACAAGGAAAACTATCTTGGCACATTCATCTTTTTTTGATAACCCTAACAGTCCCAAATCCTCCAATTTCAATACGATTTGACATACACCCTAGGGGGCTGTTTCCATAATCTAGGATGGCGCATATTATTAGCTGCCATCATGCGTCTGGAATCTGCAGAACAAGTTTCCATAGTGCAATTTTCTCACTAAAAACAGAAAATTTACCCTTCTCTTTTATGAAATTTTGCATTCAAATATTCAAGTACGAAAAATAATAGTTGAATATTCGATAATCGATTGAATATTCCGATATTTGGCACAGCGGCCACAGCCCTAATCATATTTATGTCCGCTCCACAGTTTTCTGTGCACAGCTATTTAATTTCCCCAAGGGTGTTCATAAAGATGTAGAACTTTCTCATAAAATTCTAGTGGATGCACATCTAAAGAAGAAACACTGAAAATTGATTGCCAACTAGCAAATACTTGAAAAAATCCTAGCTTTTATAATACCCTTTGACATGGAATATTTATCAAAGCTTCATATACATGTATGTATGTAATTAACAGGATTTCCTGTCAGAAATTTTCTCTGTGCAACAAAATAATGTTAATTTTGTTCAACAATTATTGCAGGAATTTTGAACTACATACATGTACATGTACGTGTATGTATATATTTGTGACCCACTCTGTGAAAATGAGTCACGTCCCCAGAGCCACTTTTGAGTTAAAGTTTGAAAGAATTTCGCACAGTTTTTAAGCAATAGGAATCCTCAACATTTTAACACCTACACAATGTACATTTTCACTGTACCAAACTGAGTGACACATCAAAGAAAGAGTTCAAATTCCTCAATCTAATAGTAAACTCAAAAGTAGCTCCAGAGACTTGTGACTCTTTTTTACAGAGCAGGTGACAAATATGCATGAATTGATTGTCCCCGTTATTATTATTCGTGTTTGCTTTTTCAGCTCAGGCAAAGATTAGAGAGCATGAAAAGGGTATATGCACGCACTCTTCGAAAAGTTGAGGTACGTATTGACTCTTTGTACTTTTAATCAGTTATTTGATACATGTTTATATAGAAAAAAAAGTTACACAATTGGAAGGTAGACCTTCATATTTGTGTAATTTGTGAACTTTTGGATGGATTTATGCCATCAATTTTAAATGTACATATATATATTACAATCCAAGCCCTAAGAAACTGAATTGAGTTCAGGGAAAAGTGTGGATTGATTGAATTGGAAAGATTGACACATTTTTATGACGTATGAAAAAGCCCTCCTTGCAGTAACTTTTTTTTTAAATGTCTGATTTTGTACTTTAGAAATTTTGAGTTGGAGTGGTTGTGTAACTTAACTGCAAAGTATCTCTTGTAGAAATCTGAAAAGGCCAAGAGAACCAGAAGCCATGTGCATCGGGTAATCGCAGAGCAAAAGCAAGTTGGAAGCAGTGACGCATCCCCTTCTTGTACCCATTCACTGAGGAGAACAGGTGCACATCAAAGGCCTGAGGAGTCATCTGTAGGAGCTGGTACGTTGTGTGTGACAATTAGCCAGTTAATGTCAGATTTTTTTACACGAAAAAGTCACTAGGGATGGGTTTCTTCACCTGAAAATTCCTAAACCACGGAAATGAAAAAAGAATTCTTAAACAAGGATACATGTCCTGTGTGGAACAAATAAGGTAAATTGTGTGTGTGTACACGTCATCTGCTGTCAAGTGGTTAAGAATTGTTCACTGCAGTGATGTGGGATATGACCTTTTGGCATATGCACACCCAAGGGTGTTCATAATGTCATTTTTGTCTAGAGGTTTTTTGGATCCTCTAACATTGAACGTGTCACATCTCATGCAAAGTAATGGTGTTTTGGACTTGTATTAAGGCAAGTAACCTCTGTTTAAGATGATGAATGATATAATGAATTAGTATAAGTGGTTAATCTGTATCTAATTTGCATATTAGTTTCAATTTTTGTATGTTGTGTCTAGGAGCATTGTCTGAAGAATCAGTTACTAATGTAGTCAGGAAGCAAGGTGGTCCCAAGTCCACCATGACTACAAAACGCATGCAGAGAAAGAGACGCAGTGTATCCTTTAGCATTCCCAAGGAGAATGCATCCATACAGACTTCTCTTGGTGGTGTCCACGTGGAGATTACAGACAGCTGTCTTGAAACATCTGAGATATGCCATGAGCAACAGACAAAGAAAACTTCGCCCAAACCCTTTAAAGATAATTTTGTTCAGGCACCAGCACCATCATTCCTTTCCTGTGGTTTGGGTAGCAGCATTGATAATGACAGAGCAATTGGTACTGGAGGTGACAGGAGACAGGCTGAGGAGGTTACACTTGTCCCGGAGTCCCAGCTTACTGAACTTTCGAATACAAGCTTTGATGAAAGAGGTTGCATTCGTGGAACTGCCATTTCTCACCTGAAGGAGTCTGTCACTAGTGGCTGTCACAGGAATATCTCTAGAAGTGGCAATGATAGCCAGAGTAGTGTGCAGTCTGACAGTCATTTGCATGGAGCGATTTTACAAGACATCAAAGAATTGAGACCAAGTGAACAACCTCCTCAAGACACTACTCAACCAAACTCGGAGGGTACCACCCATTCCGGGGAAAATGACACAGAAAATTCATGTCAAAATTTGACTGAAGTGAGAACGAAGAGGGCTGGTCGGAAAAGTAGAAGACGTTCCAGGGTGCCTCGTCAGCTGACTGCCTCTGACATCAGCTTCAAGGAGGTGGTAGAATCCCAGAGCACCGAAGAAGGCAGTCATACATGGATTGAGGGGTTGATGTATCCAGCAGAGTATTATGTGAGGCACACCAGGAGCATGACCTCCAGTCAGTGCCCACAGAGTCAAAGTAACTTTGACAAAGCTGACTCCCAAAGATATCTAGACAGGGATACAACAGGAATGAGGGAAAAAGTCATTTCAACTGAAAACTCGGATACTGTTAAGGATTTATGTATACGAGAGATTGCTTCACTTACGCGTACGGCAGGTGGCAAGACTCTGACGAGTTTTGGGTCTGTTCCAGAGTCTGAGTCAGACTCTGTCAGGTCTCAGCTCTCAGAATCCTTGTTGACAGTCAGTGCCGTCCAATCGATGCAAAAGAAGACTTACAAAAAGCCAAGTGACAGTGTGAAATCTGTGAGGGGCTCGAGGAATCAAAGACTGCAGAGGAAATGCAGATTCAACCTAGTGACATCTGAGTTCAAAACTGACACCAGTAGAGATTTAAGCACAACTGTAGCGGCAGAAGGATGTTATTCAAGTGACGCACTGTGCACAGACGATACTATATCAGCCTCTGAAGAATCGGCTAGATCAGTTGAAGGCATCACAAGTAACAAATTCCTCCCTGATCTGCCTCCTGCATGTACTCGAAGTGACTCTACAGTCAAATCATGCAAGGATTTTTGTGCTGTTGAACTACTTCGTGGGCTTCATAAAGCCAAGTTATCTCAGACTGAATTTGCATTACCAGAGGAGGACTTTGGAACTTTAATGCTGGTCAAGTTGCAGAGCAACTGTGCAGCAGACACCTCGTTACATTGGAGGAACTCTGAAAATGAACAAGATGGCAGAGTGGACCATGATGTTGAGAAGCAGTTCAAGATCAGAGATGTCACAAAGATTGACTGTCAAGCTGCAAATAAAACAAAGTTGGGTTGTGAATCCTGCGCACCCAGTGCTCTGACAAATGTTGTAAGTTATCAGACAGTGCTGCATGGACATACTGATCATGCACGCAGTGGTTCCAGTGATGGTGGTGAAGTTGCAGAGAATTTTGGCATGAAAACGATAGCCGCAGGATTAGATGCTCCAAAATGTTGTCACCAGGGAGAAAATTTAACAACTAGTCCCATCCAGGACTTGTCACCTGTGAGCTGTAAAGTGAACGTGTGTGCCAAGACTGCTAGTAGAAACACTAGGGAATCCCAAGGCAGGACCATTCTGCACAGCCAACTCTCACCAAGTCAGTTCCACAAAGACTGTAGCATGGCTTTCCCCAACCCTGGCTGCACTCCAGGGTGGTCCCCTAGTTGCAGTCCAGATGCTGACCATAGGGTTCATTCAAAGGGAGATTCACCACTTGCACCTTGTAACAAGATGATGGGAGAGGACCTCCAGAGGCATCAAACTGGAGACAGTCACAAAAGACTCTCACACACTGAGTGTAAGGCCACAGACAAGGGAAAGCCTTCTGCCATTAAAAGTGGTAACTCCAAATGCAACACATCTCAATGTTCTCCATGTTCAGGCTTACAGCTACATGTACCTGATGTCTCTTCTCAACTATCAAGCAAACCAGCAGCAGTTGTATGTAAGAGCTGTACAACAGAATGTTCAACACTGAACTTGACACCAGCAGGTGGTAACGTCACACCACCAAATGTAATCCCTGAAGCTGCTGGGAGTTCATCCATCGATAGGAGAGGCAACATCCAACAAACATCCCCGTTTGCAGGGGTGGCCACGGCAACACCTCCGGGTAGAGCTGAGGAGCCAACAACGATGTCTCAGTGTGAAGTAAAAATATCTGAAGATGGTGATGAGGTGTTGGGGGAAACAGAGAAAAGCGGCAGACATGAGTTAGCCTTCATGGGATGTGTACAGGTACATATATGCACTATTCATTTGAATGCAATTGAGTGTAATCTTTGAATTGCAGTACGACTTAATAAGCTAGGCAGAGCATATACATGTATAGTATTTTTTGCTTGTGTGAATACTTTCTGCCGATTTGTTTTGACAAAAAGCTGTGATGAAAGGTTTGAATTTTAAAAAACCTATGAATCTTTGTGCTGCTTATATTTTTATAGACTGCTTGCATGAACACACCTTTAATGATAAAAAAAAATGCCACTGTTGCTATTAATCAATTCTACATCAGTTGGCGTCTGTTACCATATCGTGATTCAATGTGAGCTCTTCTCAGCTTGTCCGTACACCCAGCAGGTTTGTGCTGCTGCCTGTTCAAATCTTTTTGCTGGCCTGGACACCATTTTTACCGGATGCTTAGTTTTTTTTGCACATTGGTTTGCTGATGCAGCACTCCCTCTTTTGGTTTGATAAGTAATTTAAATTGTGCCCTTACTAGTTGCAGCCCAAAGGATCCATTCCTTCAAGGCTTAAATGAGTCTTTCATTCTCTCAGCATGATTTACCATGGGAGGCCACGCTAACAGTGACAGCCATCACAGGCGGTAGCATGGTCATGAATGAACACAACATTAGCCTGCTTGCTTTCCTCTATCAACACACACTGGTTGTCTGGAGGAGCAACTTAGATACACAAGAGTGGCAAATATTGAAGTCTTGGATCATACCACAGGTACACGTAACTATACATTTAACGTCCAACAGTGGGCAAAGTTTGTTTGAAAATCAGAGCAGGAACAAGAGGCTTTTATTGTACATTAAACTGATACGCTGTGTTTGATTTAGAAACTGCTTAAAGAATACCTAGACTAAAGGTTGCTTACCAGTAGTAACTTAAAGCAGCATAAAGTGCTTGCAAAGTGTAGGGTATTTAAATTTCAAATCACGGATTGTTGGTAAATGAATCTTTTATCTTTCTGTTTTCTTTTCAAGGATGAGGAGTTCCTATGTGTCAGGTTTATGCCATGCAGTAAACACAACAAGGTGACATTGGTGGTCGCTGGTGTATTTGCTACATGTGGCATCAGGTAAGTGCGCTTAGAAATTTTTCAGCCACTGAATGTCATGATAAGTTTGAAAAGTTGGACTGCAGTTGAGACTGGTGTCATGCTGTCCTGCCAAAGCAAAAAATGAAGAATGACTCAACCCACATTTGACAGCTAGTCCATATCCAAATGTGTCCCAAAAGTAGCCGTGAATGGGAGACTTTGAGTTGCTTGGTGGTGGCAGACAAACCAGTCCTTTCGCCAGCTCTAGGCAAGTGCAGTAGTTAAGATAATGCCCACACCTGTGGAAAAGGACCAGTTTGTCTGCCACTACCAAGTGCCTACCAAGAAGTCTATCATTGTTAAGCTGTAAACTCTGGAGGATCTGGTTGAACAAACCAGTTTCAAATGGGGATTGTGTCTTGTACTTCAGGGTCAAAAGTCAACCGGAATTTACTGTGTTGTTAGTGTTACTTGTTCATCTGAAACTATACATTTTCTTCTGGAAACTAGTTCTCGTCTTTGGCATGCACCAGTTGAAATGTGAGAGAAGGAACAACACCATGATGTTATGAATAGTGTAAATCAGGGTGTACGAGGCAATCTCTAGGCAGTTCATACCAGGGCTATGATTTCGCACGATTTTTCTTGATTTCAGGACTTTTAGCCCCCAAATTGTGGATTTATGTAGAGATTTAATCATTCACATTTTGCAGCTTTGTTGTACTTCGTACATAAAACCCAAATGCAAGTTTCACATAATCATAGTGTAGGGGCCCACCATACAGTAGATTATGCCCCCCCTAAATTAGGGGGGGGGCATAATCTACTGTATGGTGGGCCCCTACACTAGCCATGTGTGAGAGAGCTCATGCCTTGTTAGCTTTTAAAAGCCCTGTAAAGTCAGAATAGTTAAATGTCACTACACCCTATCCATTCAACGTTTGGGTGATATTCTCTTCCTCTTCCAATCTCAACCCTTTTATGCTTGTCTTCAGCCGGATTTTCCAGAGTCCTTGCATTCGTATGAATACTGCTTTGAAAATGGATGGGACAAAATTCACTTTCATGGAGTCTTGAAAGCAGGACACATTTCCTGTCTTTAACTATGACCAATGCCATGTTTGGTTTTCATCTCTAGGATGCTAAGTTACGACACTGTGACTGAGGAAACTCAAGAGTTGGATGTAGACCTAGCACACTCAAAGGAAAAGCCAATCCAGTATGTACTCTGCGTTACCGGCGAGGAAGGCTTTGCTGTTGCTGTCAAAGATAATGCAAAGAGTGCTCTGTTTCTAGTTCACACTTGCATTGAATCAAGGTACACTTGTGCAACAAACTAGTAAATCTTGTGGGTAATATTATAGTTTTCATACTTCACAAAGACACTCGAGGAGACATTACAAAAAGAGCAGCTCAACATGAAGGGATTAACCCTACGGTAACACTCCTGAATCTTCCAACTTTAATATGATTTTGCACACACCCTAGGGAATTAGGGTTAGTTAAATAGCATAGGGGTGCACCCCTACAAACAAATTCCCATAGACAGCAGTGATAAATCCCCATACTTCACAAATATTTTAAAAATACAACTCTCACAGGTGTTCAGGCTGCACAGAAAAATGATGATCCACATGTCCTCTTTCATTTCCCTTTTTATTTTTTATTGGTTGACCTATGACTTTTTGAGAAATTCTCACCAAAGCAGACCACCCCTAAAACGAAGGAAATTTCACTGCTCGGGAAAGTAGCCATTTTGAAAAATGCATCCCTCTGCAACATGGCTCAAACAGTGCCACTTTCAGACCCGATTGCATCCAAATTGCACAGATTTGGAAGCCCCGAGTCCGGCCCAGAGGTTCAGTCTCATGTTTCTTCAATTCCTCAGTTCCATGGCTCTCAGGACCCTCTAATATAGAATATTTTGAGTAAATAACTTTTATTAATGAGCTCAGCAGACATATATCCGGCCTAAATACAAGGGTGTACCCATAGGGGCCAGACAGTAAGTTTAGGCTTGTCCAAGATGTCTCCCTGTACAGAAAAATATTTTATATTCAATGAAAACTTAACTGAAATAACTGAAGTATTGATTATAAGTTTTGCAAAGTTCCTCTATAAAACAACTGTTTCACAAGGTATAAAATTCGAAAGTGGCATTCTAAAGACTTTGTATTCAAGAAATCTTAGTCCCCTCTATACGACAAACATGTTTATAACTGTATTTATTTTTATGCTATTTATTGTAGAAATGTACAGACAGTTAAGTCCTGGACTGGACAGGAGACCAGTTTGACCGCATTGTTGCAAGTAGAAGGTGTGAAGGGAATGTTGTTGGCATCAACAGCACACAACAATATAATGCTGTGGCAAGTAACACTTATTATCTGGACATCAGCTCTATTGGTATTTGTAGTAGTTATTGTTACTAAACATCTTTTCACGTTTGCCGGTTGTTGCTTTTTCCATTTACTTTCTTATGTGGTCAGAGTTGGCACCCACGTGTTTCAGATTTCAATCGCTTTAAAGAAAATAACATACACATGGCAATATTCTGACTATGATGAACTATCTTAGCTATGTGCAATCCTAAATAGATTAAGGGCCGGGTCTACTTTAAAATCTGTTTTCATTCAGGAATTATGCAAGTGGAGAGCTCATAAAGGAAATCCCAATGAAGTGTGTGGACAGTGGGAGTCATACTGTATGCTTGAAAGCAACGGCAGAGTCGGTGAGTAAGAAAGAAATTTATTCCCAAAAGTCCTGTTTTTAATTGAAAGAGAATTGTACAAGCATTAGAAATTACCATTTTGCTTACAGCATTTAGGAAACTATGTAGGACTCAAGTTTTATACTTGTGGGTGAACCTCCAGCAATATGAGTGGGTATTGTGTATTTCGAAGGTGGAAAAAATGACAGGCCAACTGAACTATCGCGGTATTAGGTAAGGGCATACTATTGAAAGAACTACAGGTGAAATGTCTAAATTAGAATGTCAGCTGTCACAAGCTGTGTTTATTTTCTGGCAGGGGCTGTTATTCGTCGTCATCATCTTCCATGACGACGTTGGCAAGGAAGAGAGGAGATGTTCCAAGCCCATCGGTGCTGCCGTAGTGCTTAATCCACTCACAGACAAGATGGCAAAGTTGATGGAGTACCAAACTTCCATGGAACATGCACATGCCAAGTAGGTAGATGGACAGTGTATTTATTCTATGACAGGTTTTTTTAATTGAAAAGAGAACCACTGGAATTTTAACTACACATTCAAAAAATGCAACTTAAACAAGTAGACCAGCATACAGTTCTTTGGTTAGGATTTATTATAACTCTCTCAGTGTATCTTTCTTTTGAACAGCTGCATAGATTGTGCAGTATCCAAGAACACCTTGTTGGCTAAACTGTCTGATGGAAGCCTTCATCAGTGGGAAATCTTCTCTGGTAACCTCATGAATTATTCATCATCTCATCCCACCAATTACAGTCTGAGGAGTGCCCATCTGTGCGGGTCTCAGGTAGTGTTACAAGGTTCTGACCAATGGCAGCAGGTATATTATGCACGTTGATGTACATGTGACTTCATAAATAATTTATATAATGTAATTACAGGTATTTAGAATCTTCAAAGTTTCTTGTGTTTCCTGGTGATTATGCGCAATGGAAATGTGTTCTACAACATGAATGTCATCGTGGAGGAATTTCGGGTAACTTAGTGTAGAATTTTTTCGTACCAATTTGCATAGTAATACCTTCTCTGATATCCCAAAATTGAATTTTTTGAAATGTACTACTTTCTCAAGCATTTAAAATAATATTTCGAGCACAGTGTTAATGCATAAAAAATGCTCAAATGCTAAATGGTCCGTCACACCCAAAAAGAGTGTATTTTAAAGGGCAACTCACCAACTTGAGAGTTTCCTCTCTGAAAGTACTTTCATCACAGTTGGGAAAATCACAGATAAATGCAGTAGACAGCAATTGGTGATCCGGAGTGAGTAAAAATCAAAAAGGAGAGAAAGGTGAATGCTAATTGATATACTGACTACTTACTCAACACTAACAAACTTCACACCCATCAAGTCCTTTGATCAGACATTTTATTTCGTCTTTCATTCATACGGACCGGTCAGACTTTTCATTATTATTTTATTTTATTCTCATTCTTTACATGCTTTGCATCAATCACTTGACAATCTCTTCGAAAAGATGCATATGCACCGTGCTGTAGTCTCCAGAACTTCTGTCCTCTCTAAGGCAATTTTCAACCTAACCTTCATTACGAAAGTGGTCATTTCAAACCATATACATATATTATATGTATGGGAATGGTATTGATGAATTTGCAGACTTTGTGGTACCTCATCCGGGATTGAGCATTACAGTGTCCTTGGCCAAATCATCAACATTAATTATTACGACTTATACTAAGTATTACTTAAAGCCAGGAAAAGAGCTTTGAAAATAATTCCAGAAGAGTGGCCTTGCGGCTTCATACTTTTTAGAGGCATGGATATTGGCAGTTTTTTTTTCTGACATTAACTCCATCAAAAGATTGACATCCCTTACAAAATGTACGGTCACTTGTACTCGAGGTAAAATGTGAAATCGAAGCATGACAATATCTTACTGCTGATACAATGTACACTATTACACGTATCTGTGGGAATAGTACTTTTTCCTCCTTTTTGTATGAAAGTGGTTAAAATTATCGACAAGGAAGTTGTACATGTACATAGATTCTGAGATTTTTAAAAATCTCACTGGCACTTCCAAAGGAAATGTTAGCTTCATATCTAACCTTGTAAAAATTAGATCTGCCTGAGATTACTACCAAAGTGCAGTATAAAACTTCAGCAAGCTGTCAAGGCATTTTGTTACAGTTTATCTGTTCATAGAAATTACTGGTACCGTGTGCCCGTTCCTTGTGGAATAGGAAGCACACTGTTTACCTTGTGTTTGTTCCTCTGCTTTTAACAACTGTTCAAAACCTGTTCAAAAAGCTATTGCAGTGAAATGTTGGTCACGTAAATGTATACAGAGAGTTTAATGTGAATGCTTGCCCTGAGCAAAATCTTTTATTTTTTCTGTACAGCTGAACAACAAAGTGTAGTTTAAAATACATATGTGTTTGCGAGTTTTTTGCCCGGTTTCCATACCCCCATTGCCTCAATCAAGCGAGAATAAAGTTCATTTAAATATGTTTAAAGCAGTTGGTAGTTTACTTGTTGTAGTTATTACCATGTGATTGATACACATTATTCCATTCTGTCAGAATTATAACTATAACCACTGAGTTATTTAAAATAACTCGGTGTTTGATAAAAAGTGGCAGAGCGTAATTGTCTGTATTTGTGGCGGCTGTCACATCTGTTCGACAGGTGTTTGGACCTTGCATTGGAGATGGAGTAATACCATTTACTGGAATATCTGCCCGAAAAGACAATTTTGAAGAAAACTGTGTTATGTGTTTGTAACTGTGTTTATAGAGTAAGGAATAGATTATGATAACTTTAGCTTTGACGTGTACTGTTACGACTGTCTGTGCCAGTGATCAGGCAAACCAGCGATCAAAATGATGGAAATGGTATAGGAAGTACATGTGCTGTAGTTGAATTGAAAAACATAGGCTACCTTTCTGATTGGATCTACATGCGCTTACTGCAGTAATAATGTCAGAAGGATTTGGGTGATCAAGACTTCGTACAGGATGGAGATGGTTTGGGGAATGGCACAATCGTAAATAGGACTTACAGTTGTGTCTGATCTCCCGAATGGAAGCATAAGAAGAGTCCGAGTTGAGATAAATGTATCTGTAAGATATTTGTAAATCAGTGGTACCTGGCATGTAGTTTATTGGGCCAGGGGTGATACTATATAGAATTTGCACTACCGTGGAAGCTTGGCATTGTAAACAAGAAATGAACCCTGTTTTATTCCCAGTTCCTTTCAGAAGCTACATGAGGTTAGCCTGCCTCATAACAGATAGATATCAGTTCAAGGAAAAAGCTACTGGTAAAATGGACTGTTACCTGTGGACTGTGGTTGGGCTGGTTTGTTCATGAGAGGACATCTTTCAATCCGTACCATGACCGATTACATTTTTGGAGACTTGCTCAATTACATGTAGGTGAACGAACACGGGTCAAGGCAGAATAAAAAGTGACTCAGGACACTTGCAGGGGCTGCGTAAAGAGAAATATTTGAAACACAAAAAACAGTTGTAAGTTACAAGCACATTTGTATATTTGTCTTGAGATAATTTTGGATACTAGTAGAACTTACGTGTGTCAGAATGGACAAAAAAGTTTCAGATGTCGGAAAATGTTAAATGAGAAGTGCAGTGAAGTGAGATGTACCACCATGCTTGTTTGCTCGAAGAGTGTTCAAGGTTGGTATTTCTGTTAAATTGACTGGCGTTTATCCTACACTTATTTTCACTTTGCTAATAAACCTCCCCAAAGCCCCAGTAACTAGACACATGTAGGTGCAGGACCACAAGGCCCGTGCCCTTTACATTTTAAATTGACTCTACCTTCCTGCACTAGGGGCTTTGTGAGGTAGCCATTTGAAGGGAAGTTCTTTCATGCCATACGGAAACCTTTATGCATACCCTGGAACAAAGCTATGGCCTGCAAGATGGCCGCCATGCCAACCCTCTGTACCCTCCAAAACTTGGCGAGTCAAAATATCTATTGAAGGGTTGGCGTTAGGGAAATGAAAGTACCTGGTGAGAAGTTGAGGGAAAAGCAGATTTATTCAGCCTGAGGTCCTGTCCTCCTAGTTGTCTTTGGTTTTCCTTTGTGTGCAACAGCTGAGCTTCACATGAAAAGAAAAGGGCATTTTTGTAATACATGTACTTGATTTTGGGAAACATTTTCAATCAGTTCAGTGTGGGCTTTCCGTGATTCCATTAAGTTCAAGCAATAGTTAATTATAGTACTGGAAAATAGCTACTTGTATACATGTAATGGTTAACTGTTGGGAGCTAAATCCAGCATAGAAGTAAATTAAAAGTGCTGTTATTTGGGAGTGTTTGACATGGAATTATACAAAGTCTGAATACAAAGGTTAAGGAAAACACTGACTTTAAAACTTACAATCAGCTTCATTTCCACGGTGACTAGCTACTCTTTCTCCATTGTGAAGTGCTGCTTTTGGTGTGTTGACGTTTATTGTATCAAATGAAGGCTATGACATAAATTTCCTGACAAAAATTCATTTCTTGCCTTGCAAAGCGATTGGTTTGCATGGCAGATATGCCTGAGTTAATGGTTGGGATTAGTTGACCCTCCTGGTGTAGTCGTGGTCATTGAGGAGGTATTTAATGGCTGGTGTTGATATGGTAAGTTGTGGTTACTATGATTCTTCTGGATATGTACATGTAATTGGCAGAGGTCAAGAAAGGACTGTACTTGTTTTCACGTTGGGAAGTAAGGCAGCAGGGTTGTTTCTCTTTGAATAATTATGTTCTGCTAAATGTAAGATATTGCCATGTGTAATGCCAGATTTCAGTGGTGTGCCTTGTGCTTCACTGTCATGGTCTGGCAGACAGGCACTTGGTGGTACAGGTCGTCGACTATACATATGTTCTGCCAAATGTAAGATACTACCATGCGTCACACCAGATTCCACTAGTGTGCTTCGTGATTCACTGTCAGGAACTGGGAGACAGGCAGGTGGTGGTACAGGTCTTCGACTGTACATATGTTCTGCCAAATGGAGGGCACGGCCATAGGTCACACACGGTTCCATTTCCAGCAATGTGCTGCATTGTTTGCAATCAGGAAGGCCTTCTGGGAGCGATGCAGGTGGTGTAACTGATCTACGACTGTACTTATGGTCGTGGGAAGTTGCAGTTACAACATGGTTATCACTATGACCTTGACCTGACGCATAATTATGGTCTTGCAAAGACAGGTTGGTGTTGCAGGTGACTGCAGAGGATGTATAGGATAACTCAGTGAATTCCTGTGCACAGGTGGGCTCAGGTACTGTACCTGTGAAAGAGTCATGTGTCCGTTTTTGTTGGGAGGTACTTGAATTTAATGTGCACTGTTTGGGGGTTACACATGAAATTAAAGTTGAAGGCATAAACATGATGCAGGCCGTGTCCATTAATTCTGTGCCTTGATCTTGAGGAGGTAGACAATGGTAGAGTGGAAAATCTGCACAAATGAAACAAAAAGTTGACCAAAAGATCAGTCAGTATGTAATGGTTCCAAAGGCGATCTGCTTCCTGTGAAGGCCTTTTAAAATACATGTAATTGAACACAATACATAATTCTAGGGGTGTGTTTTCATAGTAAATGAGTGCAAAAGGCGAGCAACGTGGTATTCAGTTGCCAGGATGACCTAGTGACAGCCTAAAGTGCTCATTTGCTTCTACGGTTGGAAAAATTGTCACTTTTTAACCGAAGATAACCTGTGTGTACCGGTCCTGTTTAAAGCATAAATGTAACTTGTACAGATTAATCCAGCGACCAGAATTTAAAGTCGATTATCACTGTGGGGCCATTCTTTTCGCATGCAGTTGGTACGCGCTGTTGTGACTTGTCAAAGTCATAGGGCCACGGTGCACGAACTGAGTGTGATGATCACGCAGGAATGGCGTCTCCCCGGCACAGATTTGTCTGTGTCACGTTACTGCGCCACGACCATAAAACACCTGTTTGGTGACGTTCGCAAACATTCAAGTAGACGAGGCCAACTGGAATTAATGTTTTATTCAAACAGTTTAAAACTAGGGGGGCTTTAATTGGTAATCCGGCCGGGTGCTAGGAATTAGTATTGGTAGAACCAATGGTGGGTTAATCCTTGATGCTAGGCTTAAGCAATAAAGGATGGCATGCACAGTCCATGACAAGTAAAACAAAACGACGTCGGAGCTCGGACCATGATCAGGCCAAATGAGTCCGGTCGGACAAATGGGGAAAAAAATCACTGCCTTGCCTTACTTTATTCCTCCATGCCCTACCAATGTAATGACGTACTGTCCATGGCGACAGATTCCAAGCAACCGGTACCGGTCATGAATAAGTACATGGAGTAAGGACGTCCTCGAAATGCAGTGTCTTCCGTGTTTTGCAACTTCATCAGGCCAAAAATTCCATACTGGAGGGCGCTATTCATCTGCAATAGCAGTCCGGGAAATGCGCGAATGGGGGAACGTTTCCCAATTCGGAAAGTGTTACCGAATTAGGAAACTTTCAGCGTTTGCAGCACGGACGTATTTAAAAATTTTAATATAAAATTTTATTATACACGTCCGTGGTTTGCAGGTGAATGTGTCTTCGTTTTCTAAAGGGAAACAGGAATTGCAACCGCTTTCCAGTGGTGTGCCCCGTATTCGGAGGGCGACCAAACTCGAAGGGGTGGACTGGAATTTCAGATTAGGATGATTTTCCAAATGCTATTAATTTATCTAACAGACATTCAATTTCCGAAACTACATGTAGGGTAAAATTGTGGAAATAAAAGTGGAAATTTGATATAAGTTGAAAATGTAAAGGTGTGTAAAATAAATCTTTGAAGAAATAAATCAATTTATTAAAAGGAGTTGTGTGAAAGGCAAATTGTAATGTCGGAAGTGCATTATTTCCAGTAATTTTTCTTGTATCCACTTTTACAAGGAAAGAATTACAGTCTACCACTATAAACTTAGTCTCACTAATTTTAAAATCATAAAAATCACAATTAAAACAAAATTTTTCAAATGTTTAGACGTAAAAAAAAAATTAAAGGGGTGTCCTTAATTATACTTATACGATTTTGACAGTTATTACAGCTATTTTTCCCCCAGGGAAATATATAATAAAGTGATTGCTTTGTAATCTGTGATTCCACTCGGTCGAAACATGCAAGTGAAAATTTTGATGCTGTCTTTAAATTAAAACCAATATTAAAATGCATGTACCAGATGATTTCTTAAATTTAATTACACAATTTAAATCACTTTTGCTTTTTTTCCAAATAATTTTCTGAAGCTTTGTCCAATTTAAACAATTGAATCTTACACAAAGTCCCTTAACCTTTTCTCCTAAGCAGTGACTTCTCAAGTAATTAAAAACGCTGCCCCAAACCAGATTTCATCTGAATTGAAATGTTCCTAAAATGTGACTTAACAACAAATTTGTTTGATGCAAAACACATCTTTTTTAATAAAATGAAAATATTATTACAGCAATGAACAACACTGGTACAGAAGTGATCAGGTTCTTGACAAAATGAGATCGAAATTGAATTTACGAACAGGCTAAATGGAATACTGAACTATTTATTTTAATATAACATCTCCGAACGAGGCCAGTACCAAGCTTCAAAATGGGGTCGAACTTCAAATTCGCCGTTTCGTTTCCAACACTCGACTTCTGATCCGTCTCAGGCTCCAACTGTTTTTTACCAACCGATTTGAAGTTGTAAGCCCGACAGTAAGTCTGATAGTGCCACAAAACATCAAGTAAGATGCAAAAGAGCCAAACAGTACAGTACCTCAATTTTATTTAAACACTTCAGGCCCACAATCGGGGATTGGTTTCGGAGACGACACGTGAGACGGAGACGACGTCTGAGAGTATTGGAAAACGTCTAAATTTTCGTTTCGCAGCCAGACTTACTGGTCGAAAGTTATCGACTTTTTAAAGAAAATTCACAGATAACTTTTTGATTTGCACAAACAGAAATTTCGGCAACTAAATGAAAATCACATTTCAGCAATTTCTTTTTTGCACCAATGTGTGAAATTTTGCGCCAGCGAGTTTGAATTTTGTGTTTCCGAATTAGGAAACGCTATCGTTACTATAATTGGGAAACGTTTCCCAATCAGGAAACGGGTGTTTCTGAATTGGGAAACGTTTCCTAATTCGCGCATTTCCCGAACCGATAGAGGGCGTCTAGCGCGCCGTTTTACAATCTGTGAAAATGTGACATTGACGCGTGACGTCTATGTAGTATGTATCACTACTGAAGATACATGTGTGCTGTAGTACAACCACTTGCCTGGAAAACCCAAGTATATCATGACAGGAATTGTACATGCAGAGCTTGTAACACCGTTTATGTCCTTCCTCCATGTTGTAACTATAGTTGTTGCTTTGGCTTAAGACATGGTGGATCTCGTCGAGTCAGGACTTCAAGTTCAAGCAGGAGCTGTAACTAGGGCTGGGCCCAGACCTGGCATGACTGTTTTCTATGGACATGATGGAAGTGCTATATGTAGGACATCATTCACATTCCGTGGACTAAGAGTAAGACAAAATCTTTACTATTTCGAATGTACAAATTGCTATTTTATTCCAACAAAATTTAGCGCATGGTTTAATAAATCTCAAAGTAACCACAGGATGCATCTCAGATCAAGTAGACTCCTTCAAGAATTCCACTGCAAAACTAAACGCCTCAGCAACAGTGCGCTCCCTTACTTCACAAAACTCATGAATTCATCTTTTTAACACCCATTATCTGTCTCCTATGTATTGTCTAGTAATCCGTTATTTTTCAACAAACGTGTAGTTTTGCTATGTAAATCACACTATATAACCACCGGTTTGTGTTTTTTATACATATATATTCTTCGTTTTAAATGTCCTTAACAATTTTATGTAAATTGAAATTTATACTTACCTGTGTATATTGTTCATTTTACTTTATCTGTGTACTGTTGTAAAACTGCTCAGCAATTCAGCCCTTGGGCTGCTATTGGCAGTTCAAATTAAATAAACCAGCAATAATAATAATAATAACGATGTATGGGGGATCCATAGAAGACTACAGGGAAAATATTGATGAAAATTTAAAGGAATAATATCGTTCTTTCATTATTCAATTTATCAAATCCATAGTAACATGGTGTGAATGCACCTATAGAAAAGAAGCCTTTTTTCAAACTCAAGCACGGCTGGGGCGAAGTGGAAATTGGGTGAGGCAGCAGCAGGGCAATGTCAGGATGGGGCTACGGTAGGTGGCAATGAGGCAAGTGGGTTGGGGTAAAGTGAGATAGGGCAATGTGGAAATGGAGCAACGTGAACAACACCCTTTCGTACATACGGTTAACTATTTCATACATACCGCTTCTGATCTAAAGGCAGTGGCCACATTGAAACTTCTACATGTACCTTGAGCAGGAGCACCCACTCGTCAGTTGAAAAGAGTTTCACCCTAACCGCCAAGCGTATTGTTTGGCTTACACTACACATTACTACAAAATATCAAGTAATAGTCTGAGCCTGAAGGACCTAGTGCTACAGATTATTACTTCTGGCTAGGTTACTTCCATTGTTACTTGTACAAAGAACAATAAAGCCATGCATTCATAGCGCCACAGTGCTGTATGGTACATTGTCTACGGCTTCACAGAACAATAAAGTCATGTCTTCTTACAAGCGACAGCGCTCGGTACTACATTTTACTACAAGAAGTAATTTGTCTGGTAGTATTATGGAGGGTTAGGGTTAATGTACATGTACATGTTTTTTGGTGAGAAGTGTTCGTTTTGTTGGTAGTGATGGGAAAGCACTGTATGCATCACAGTCTTTTGTGAACCAGCCAAGTGGAGATCCAACCAAAGGAGCCTCCGTTACTGTTACCTCTTCTTTTTCGAACATAAGTCAAAATTGGTAAGATAATTTCCTAGTTTATGCTTCTTATGTGTTTTGCACTTTGTAACAAAAAACAAAAGATTCCAGAAGAGTTGCATTACTTTCACTATTTGTGCTCCATGGCAAGGTTCTTAATTCAGTCATAAGAACTTTCCAAAGCTTGTTGGTATCAGGAGACTTTTCGATTAAAGCTTGTTGGCTTTTTCTCTTTGTCTAAAAATGTAACGTGAGTAACGGATTTTGTGTGCCTTGTGTATCATGCCTAACGTTTTTATTTTGTGACATGTATCTTTGGTTCTGAGGTAGGCGTAAGTATGCCCTAGATACTATGGAGTTAACAATAACTGAACATTTACAGGAAAATAATTAGAGCCCAAAGAAACTCAAAAGTACATGAAAAACTTAACGTGAGTAACCATGGAATTGCCCTAATTATTATTTTTACTAATACTGGACATGTGCACATGTCCTTTACGTAAATACACTTCCATAGTTTTCTGCTGCTCGCTCATTAGCACGCTGGTGTTTCATACATTAAGTCTGCAGTGTGTTGCAGACAAGACCATCACAAGACCTTTCACAAGACCAGTCACAAGTAACAGGGTGAACAAAGACAAAGGAATTGTTGCAGTCTATTTGAATACTGTAGCTTGTGACTTGAATTCAGACTAGAGGTGATCTGTTTATTTATTTCAAAGGAAATCAACAGCAGCAAGCCACCAATTACAGGGATTTTTAACAGATTAAAAAATATGTATATAATTACAAGATAAGATTAGAAAAATAAACGAAGTTATATATGTAAAAACCAAAGATATTGCACATGCAATAGACCTGTTGGTCTTGTCATGGTCTTGTAGGGTCTTCTGGTGGTTTGAAGAGGTCTCAACTACAACAGTGTGAAATGCTAGGCACACATACTGGTGGTTTCAAAATCCTTGACTGCCCTGATTAAAGATGAAACTTTATCATGAGATCTCACTTTTATCCACTCCCAGATCTCAGGAGTATTCCTCTTTGTGGTCTCACCATCAGTGATGTTATCTGAGGGCACCTAAACTCCCGTGGCCAATCACAGCAGAGGTTTCATTTCGTCACATGAGGGGAAGAAACCCATCGTATGGTTTGCACAGGAAACAGTCAGATTGTACATGCAAGGTCTGTTCTGCATATTGAGCCAACAACAGGTGGGTGTATGATATTCTGCAGACTGTGACATTACACAGGACTCTCTTTGTGTAGCATTTTCAGGCAGTGTGTAAATGGCAGCTTCCCTTTATTATGGAGTGCCCAGGCACAACCAAAACACATTAGTACATGTACACGTACCTGTCGGCTTTAACTCATGAATTAATGCAAGTATTATGTTTATATTTTGGGATCTGACAGACTTTGCCAATGTTTTTGTTATTTTTGACATTTGGGTGTTGAAGGAATGTCAAAGTTCAGATAAATTTTAAATGTGTAAAAATCCCCAAATCAAAACATCAGTCCCTGTCCGTCAAATAGTTTAGTACATTCACATGAGACCGGGTACAAACTTTAACCTTGATGTTAAAATGTTCATGTTTTTTATGTCACAATAATGTCATCATATACTGTACCCGTGTCATATTGCAAGCAAGTAGAGGTCCAAATGAAATGAAATGTTTTTCATTATTGTAAACATGGTAAATGTTTTGAAAAAGGAAATATCACACTTATATTTTGCGATCTGGTAGATCTAACCCTGAAGAGACTATAAGCTAATTGGACGTACAATTTTCTCCTGGGATTACCAGACGTGCAATGTTATGGACATGTACTACTAAGTGTAACTCAAAAACAAAGGATTTTTCCTCAAATGACAAGATTGCTAAAATGTTCAGAGAGGTATGCAAAGCACTATACCATGC